GTATATTAAATTAAAACTCAGAATCTTGAGAAGCCAAAGATATAAAATTTGTACAATTTTATTTATTTTTTATTTGTCTTTAATATGTGGCTTACTTTTTTAACCAGATAAAATCAAAATTAGCCATTGTAGATCATAGTAGATTCATGTTATGTATACTCTACCCTTAAAATACCTTGATTTGGAGGGCGTTGAAAATATTAGTAAAAAAGCTATAAAACAACTTAACCCAAATATTCTTATCAATAATTTCAACAAAGAATTATTGCGATTGGCCTGATTCTGAGACCGACTCTTCTAATTCTGATCCAGAAGATGACGATTTAATCTTTCTTTTTTTTTACACATCTACATTTTCGCTCTGTAATTGTATATACTTCACCATTTTCCAAGTCAGAACTGGATGAGGAAGAATTACTTGAATCACTATTGGAAGAATCAGACTCAGGTACTAAAACAGTATGGGTGTAATTACTTTTATTAACAGATACTATGACCCTTGATCCTTTTTCTTTGTAATTCTTGATATGCAGAGTTGTTCTTACCCAAGCATCTTCTGCATCTGTTACTATTTCCGGTAAATAAGTTGGAGGTTTATCCTTATCATATCCTTTAGTACAAAACCAATTATTACCAAGCAGGATATAGTTCAACATTTTGGAATTGTATTTTTCCACAACTACTTTGGATAGATTTGTTGTTACTAATTCGAGTGCTTTTTTCTACATTAGAGGTGAAGGTAAGTGGAATTACAGCCCATCCAATTGGATGTGTAGTCATCTCCCTGAAGAATTTGCTATCTTTATCTTCAAGAGTTATTCGTCTAGTAATTTTCCCTCCAATTTTCTTAAGGATTTTATCAGTACACATAGAAGCCCCCAGAAATCCTGGTTCAAGATGGCAATTAACTTTTTGTGTTCCTACTTTAGCTTTAACTATTTTCATGGTAATATAATTTACATATTGTATAATATAACAAAAAAAATTATTAATGAGTTGGTTTAGTACATCATGTAAATGAAACCAATTGCCTTGAATTACAAACTCCTGATGGAACATTTTCTGTATTAGGAAAGGTTGAACTGCAAACTAGTTTTAGCAGAGCTAGTTCTACTAATGTTGATGGGAAGCATAAAGTACTGATCCTGTTGAATTCTTGGTTGTTGGACCAGATTGGCCTGTGCCTGATTTAGTGTTAGGAAACCCATGGTTGCAAAAAAATGGCACAACAATTGATATGTGTAATAACAAACTTTCTATACATGATAATTTTGCAATCCCAATTTTCCAAAGTGGGTAATCTCAACATCTACTAAAAAAATCAATAATACATTTGCCTAATTACAATACATAGAATACAGAGTGTCTTAATCTAATGTTGTGTAATATTATGTGGTCACTGGATCTTCTCTGTTTTATGAATAAATAAGAGATATGAATTGTTGTTGTATAAAAATGATTTAGCTTATTTTTTTTTGACATCGAATGAGGGCCTGTGCATCATATGAGATGTACCAAAGTTTTTGATTTTACCTATCAGATAAAATGCAAAAATAATTAGGATTGGCAAAGGTAACAGATCACCCATAGAGAATAAATTAACCCATTCATGATAAATATTGTTCCGAAATTACTAATTTTTTGATTTTTTGACTTGCAGAAATACTAGCATCACTTTGCAACTATAAAATGGCTATAAAAACACTACTTATTATTTGATAGAAATATTTTGCATAATATTAATATTATGGATATTACGTGTCTTAGAACTCTTGCTTTGAATATTCTCAAAAACGGCCATCCTGAAAGTATTGCAAGTAATATTGACATTCCTGAATTAGAACCATGCTCGATATGCAATGAAGAAATTTTTTTGCATATATTTAAAAAATCTCTCACTGTATTAACTTGTGGACATATTTTTTTTTCATTGTCTTTGCCTTGAGAATATTAGAGAAAATACAACCACATGTTCTGGCAAAAATTGCACCATGGAAATTGAAATCATTGAAAGATCACCACTAGCAAGAATGACATCTCAAGGAAGTATGAGCATAGATAGGTTGCAAGATAAATTATGTGATCTACCAATCTTCAACAATGCCTTTTTAGAGAATGATCCTTCTTGTCTAGACACAATTGCAGAAGAGGACTCCAATGATAATCAATCACAAAACATGGAATCTAATACACCAGAAACATTGACTACAAGTATTTTACCATCCAAACATGCTGGTGAGTCCATTAAGGTTTCTGGTCCAAACTGTTTTCTCAAAGCCCAAACTAGTTTGGGCAATTTGGGCTTCTCAACATTTTCTATACAAAATTAAATAAATCATTTTTATCAAATCACCAAAACAAAATTATTCGCTAATAAATCTAATTTGTTAGTATTAGCCTATTCATTCTGATCCACATAAACTATTAAAAATTTGTTATCACCAACTAAAACATGCTCTCCCAAGATTAATTGGTGACACTAGTAATTTATATATTGGCGGTTCTCCACGTCAGCTAAAACTTCTTTGAATACTTCCACAGGTTTATTATTAAACTTAAATGAGCATTTTTATATATGATGATATTATGTGGTCCACTTGTAAAAACATGGGCTGAAAATAGTGTAATTATCCTTATCTCACTCATGATAAACACTTGCTCACATTGGAGGGATGTTTAAGATATAGACTGTTATGCAGTATTGTAGTTCATCCTACTAACCTATTGGTGAGAAAAATTTATTGCCTGCATGGGTATTACGCTGTATGGGTGGACCTTAAAATGTAGTTATTTAGTACCACACAGAGTTTCATTGGCGTGATGGCCACACAAAAATGATAACTTTGCATATGTACTGATATTATATGTATTTTCCATGATGTGTTTTTGATATAACTGAAAACTAATGCATTATTTTTTTATTTTAGTTTGAAATTGCTTTTGAGGGAGTCTGTAGTCTTCGTGATCTTGGTGTCGTTAAAACAAATAGAGAGAAGCCTCTTAACTTAAATCAAATTAAGGATAATATAAAAAAGCTGAAAGCTAAACTTAATAGAGATACAAACCCACTCTATCAAGAGTTGTATAATAGCATAGATAAGATATTGTGGTGTTAGATGGTGGTTGATCATCAAACATATGTTACATCAATATAACAAATTATTATGTGCGGATTTTTTTAGTATCTTTATC